TTTAACTAAAATATAAGCCTACCTGCTGTATAATGCAAGTTAAAATTATAAATAAGCAGATTACCATCACGATGAATGTACCTTCTCACATACACACCTATCAAAAACTTAAAACCTTTCAAAACCTCTTGGTATATTCAAATTAGGATTCTTCATTCATGGAATCATTATTCCAAGGGTTTTGGGATGTCTTATGAAATGATTTTGGCAGAAGAGGATGTAAATTTTTTTGAATAAAAAGTAGTCAGCAAAACATATGTTTTATTGGGATTTTTTAGATAATTAAATCAGAGAATAGGGTTGGGCATATGAGTAACCCATTCGAGTTCGGGTAGAACCCGTTTAGGTTTGGGATTAATGGGTATATGATTTACTACCTAATAGAATAATTCTAAATATTCGGTTCGGGTCGGGTCCAGTTGGGTTTAGGTCAGTTTGGATAAAAAGTTTCAGGCCCTAAAAATAATCAAAAAATAGAAACGGGTATTTTGTATGTAGATAGTGCGTCTCCAAACAAAAAAAACTTTTAAATTTATTAAGTTTTAATAAATTTAATTATATTTGAATATATTTTACTAAATTTTGACAAATATAACAAATAATTTTGACAAATATAGCAAACATAACAAAGTATACAATTTAATTTATACAAAATATTAATCCCGTGCTATACAGCACGGGTTATGATCTAGTCTATATTTTAAAATAAAAGATTACTTTAATGTTTATCTAAATCTTTTGAATAATCTATTGAAAATGACATATCATTATAGTATGACTAATTTCAAATGGTGGATGCAAAATTGCAAATACATGTAGAAAAATTTGCAGACGAGTTATATGACTTATAAAGCTAGTGTATCATATTTTTTAGTTTATAAATACAGCATATGATACTTTTATGAAAGATATGTTTTTTCTTAAAACAATCAGGAACATATTTTGTATGTAGGCTCTATGCAATAAGTAAGATATGATTAACAATTGATCCAACGAATTGGGCTTTTCAGATGATGAAACGGGCCTCTATGAAATAAATGATGGATTTTTTTCCTTCTAACTCTCTAATGATACAAAATACAAAGATTCCAAAACATATAAACTTTAATTCATTTTTTTTTATAAAAATAGTAGTATTTTACATATGAGATGAGATCAGAATCAATAGAGTACAACAAAACACTCTGTCAGATTCCCACTTAGTTTTGAGGATTCCCCAAAAAACAAATTTGGACAATGATAACGCTCAAAATTTAATTAATAAGTTTCCCCAAAGTATAATATTACCAAATTATGAATGAATAGTATTGCTCTCTCAGAATCAAAACACTGAAGGAGAAAAAAATAAAAATGGAATCTTTGAAACGTTTCCTCTGCTCTATTGCGCTTCTTCTTATCTCCCTTCTTCTACCTTCAAGCTTAGCTCAACAACAACAACATGAATCAATCAGAACAATGGAAGATTTTTCCGGATACCCAATTCACGAACCGGGTCAATTCGGTTCCATCAATCTCGCTTCTTCACTCTCCGTTGATGCTCCAGGACTGCAAAACCAGGTTCAATTTCTTAAAGTGGAACAGTAGATAACTAAAGTTTAGAACTTTGATTTTGATGGATGAAGTTCTTTTGTTTTTGGTTTTAGATAGATGAGCTATCTAGTTTCTCTGATGCTCCTTCTCCATCAGTCACCAGAGTTCTTTATACTGACAAAGATGTCTCGGCTCGAAGGTAATTTGAATCTGTTTACTTGATTGAGTAATCATAAAGATTAGATTTTGTGAAGCTAAGTTGATTGGTTTTGTTAGGTATGTGAAGAATTTGATGGCACTTGCTGGTCTTACTGTTAGAGAAGATGCTGTTGGTAACATATTTGGCAAATGGTTTGGTTCTCGCTCTCTGTTGCTAATTGTTTCGTTAAGAAGATAGGTTTGATTATGTTATCCATGTGAGGTGTGTTGTTTTGACTTCTCTAACTTAGGGATGGTTTAGAGCCAAATCTGCCTGCTGTAGCCACTGGTTCTCACATCGATGCTATTCCATATTCCGGGAAATATGATGGTGTTGTCGGTGTTTTAGGTGCGATTGAAGCTATCAATGTTTTGAAAAGGTATGAAGGATCTTTGGATAATGGAAAGTAAAGTCTAAGATTGTGTTTCCTGATGGTTTTTGGTGGATATTTCTTTTGTTTTCTTAAGGTCGGGGTTTAAACCGAAGAGGTCTCTGGAGATAATCTTGTTCACATCTGAAGAACCGACCCGATTTGGGATCAGTTGTTTAGGAAGGTACCCTTTGTGTTTATCTTTATGAACAGAGAAAAAATCCTTGTTCTGTTTCTTTTTGTCTTACTTGTACATGTTGTTGATACAGCCGCTTGCTTGCTGGAAGCAAAGAACTTGCAGAAGCACTAAAGACTACAGTTGTTGATGGCCAAAATGTGTCTTTTATAGAAGCAGCTAGATCAGCAGGATACGCAGAAGACAAAGATGACGACTTATCGAGTGTGTTCTTGAAGAAAGGAAGTTATTTTGCTTTTCTAGAGTTGCATATTGAACAGGGACCTATACTTGAAGACGAAGGTCCGGTTAACTTACCTTTTCTGCGTGGAAGAATTTTGTGTTTTTTCTCTCTTTCATTATAGTTAATAAGATCATTTTTGACCACAGGTTTAGATATCGGTGTTGTAACCGCCATTGCTGCTCCAGCAAGTTTGAAGGTGGAATTTGAAGGCAATGGAGGTCATGCTGGTGCTGTACTTATGCCATATAGGTGAGCTATATTATGCAACTGAACCATCTGTTTAACCACTAGGCACTAGTATACTGATCACTGTATAATGACTATTTCTTAGAAATGATGCCGGGCTTGCAGCTGCAGAGTTGGCTCTTGCCGTGGAGAAACATGTATTAGAGTCGGAGTCAATAGATACTGTTGGAACTGTTGGTAAGTTTTGCCTCACTAATTTCTAAAGAACTTACTCTCAATAGAACGTATTCACAGAATGAATCATTGTGGTTTAAGGTATTCTGGAGCTACATCCTGGGGCAATCAACAGCATTCCAAGCAAATCCCATCTTGAAATCGGTAATTCCTTATGTTTCATTACACATACTAATAGAGAAAGTCTGGTAAATATAACGTGCTTTATCTGAGCTCTTGAGGAAGCTGAGAGTAGTCCTATTTTTTTTTGGTTTGATCGTTGGACTAAGTTCTTTTTCTTGTGTTCTTTCAAAGATACAAGGGATATCGATGAAGCGAGAAGAAACACCGTGATCAAGAAAATTCAGGAATCTGCTAACACGATAGCTAAAAAACGAAAAGTGAAGCTATCAGAATTCAAGATTGTAAATCAAGATCCACCAGCACTCTCTGACAAACTAGTAATCAAGAAAATGGCAGAGGCAGCCACAGAACTTAACTTATCACACAAGATGATGATCAGCCGAGCTTATCATGATTCTCTCTTCATGGCCAGGTACCACAAAGTTTGCAAGTTTCATCTTCAGAATACTACCCTAAACTTTTAAATTAGAGCATCCTGAACCCTGATAACTTTTCAACATACAATAACTATTGAATTATTCCCCTGCAGAGTCCTAACTCATATTATAGAGTTATAGTAATTCATATTGAAATTCTTAAAGTTCCTTGTCCATTTCTCTAATCGCCATATCAGAATCCGTTAGATTCGTTAGCTACTTTGAATGTTCTTGCTTAGAGTGATGCTGAACTTTGTTGTATTTTGCTGTATCCAGGATATCTCCGATGGGTATGATATTCATTCCGTGCTACAAAGGTATATAGATGCGAATCAATTAGACCGTGATCTTAATCAAATCTGCATCCCCCATTAAGGTTTTTATTGGTTGCGTGATCTTTTGCAGGATACAGCCATAAACCTGAAGAATACTCATCTCCTGAAGACATGGCTAATGGAGTAAAAGTACTCTCCCTCACTCTGGCTAAGCTCTCTTTAGACTGATGCAAACCCTCTTTCTCATCCAGAAGCTTTGCACATTCTCTACCTTTTCTTCAGTCTTTGTATCTTTGACAATGTAAAGAAAATTCAATAAATGTTGTGGCTATCACTTATCAAGTTACAGTCACAGCTTTTTTTATAAATCTGTTGTAATTATCCGAGTTCATATACAATAGTGGTTCTGTTACATGTAATTAATAAAATATGTTTTTAAGTTAAGAATTTGACGTTTATTAAAAGATGACACAAGTTGTGAAATGTTAGTTAGCTCTTAGATTGTGACAGGGAACTAATTATTCTGCAGCTAATAGTATTATGAATGGTTGTCAAAGAAACTTTTTCTTTCTTTTTGACTTGAAAACAGAACAAAATCTAAAAAGTAGAGAATGTGATTGTTTAAATGGGAATACGTCTTTATTTGACATACCAAACTTCTCTTAGTTTATAAATTCTGGTCTTTAAAGTAATGATGTATTAGTTACAGATCATACATATATCTTGAAACTTATGTATACCAAACTTCTATCCATGCTTTTCCGGATACCTTAAATTGGAATATCTACAACAACAACAAAAAAAAAAGAATTGTATATCTGTAACCTAAGTTTTTACAATAAAAAAGAGTGGTGTTTGAATTTAATTAATGAATTAAGATCTAAAATTGGAGCATATAGTTAGTGCGTTTTTGCTTTTTGGTGAGTAGCATATAGTTAGTGTTAGTGTTGTCTTTGTGTCAATAGTGTAAAGAAAAATATTGAACTGAAATAAACTAACGTAATTAAATAGAAATTAACTAGGTAATAAAAAACCAATTTATTAAGAAAAAACTACCGTTGTAAATTAGTGAGAGAGGAGAAAACAAAAAACAGTCTCCAAGCTACTTGGCCTAATAAAAGAGCATATCTTTAGAAGAAACATGCATGAGGCCGTAACTAAAAGAAAGTTCAGAAGAGAACTTCTCCTCTTAATCATCTCTCATCTTTTTCTCATTCTCTCTTCTCTCTCTGTCTTTCTGAGCCAAAAGTTCAGGTGAATGATGCCTGGCTCGAGACCATTCAATCTCATGATCTCATGATTATAACGATGATGATGATGATGTCGGACCAGGCTTCATTCCCCTCAACTTACACGTTTTGCTTCTCAATCTTCAAGACCAATCGTTAGCCGATCACCTAATTCTCTAGTAAGCCAAGAAAGATGAACATAAATGGTGTATCCGTGTATATCATCCTTTTTTGTATGTATGCGTCTTTCATCATCAATCCGCAGCAATGTATATAATATGGTGTATATCAAAAACACATTAGGCATATCTATTAATATTGTTTCCTTAATATATCTGTTAAACCTTGCTGATTAAGAGAACTAATATAATCGAAATTTCTTTTGACATGCATGCATATATATAAGAGTAACAGATCACCGTGTAAAGTTGAGGGGAACGAAGCCTGGTTTAAAGTGTTATCAAATGCTATATTTTCTGAAGAATGTAAAGCATGAAAAAAAAAAAAAAGAATTGATGATGCAGCTTGAAGCTGAGTTGGTCAATTTTGTATATATATATATTATAGGATCAATAGGTAATCAAAACTTCAATACTATTGTTTTCTTAATTTGTTTTAACATCGTACTTTATAATATGGACTTAATTTTAGGTCTAAATTAATTGTAGGAAGAAAGGTATAATATCGAAATTAAAGTCAGCTTTAATTAATGAAGGGCGTCTCTTTTTATCTTTACCAATTTCGTTGAAATATCTTGTTGTAATCAGTGTGGAAAATGGCTATAAATTCCTTTCTTTCTTTTGACTATTTAGCTTTCAACATTTCGTATATATTATTTCCACTTGTTTCTAGTTGATTAATCAAGAATTATCCTCATAAGATTAATGTAGTCTATTTACTGAGGAAATAGTTAAACATTTCAAAGATATATCTTACGGTTTAATATGATATGTAATGTAAATACTATATAGCTAAAAAAGTCTTATATAAAAAATGGTCGATCAAATTTGTAATCATCAGAAGAGAAAATAATCACTGAAATTTGATTTTTCGTAAGAATGTGAAAAACGTTGTTAAACTGAAATGTGACGAGACAAAACAAATTCATTACACATGATAAATACAATTTAAATATGCAATAATTAGTGTATTTATGGTTAAATCATAGAGCCAAACAAAAAGGCCGTAACATATATTATGGATGCCTGCATAATTATTTCTAAATAAATACTTTCACTTTCCTTTTCTTACTTGACCGCATAATTATTATATTTTCTTTTGCTTTCTCTATGGAGCAAAAGATATGCAATGTGTTCATAGATATACTCCATGCTTTGGAAGAGCTCTTTATGCCAATTTTGAAATAGGAAAAATAAATACGAAACTATGAGTAATATACAAATTGTTTAGAAATCGAAACTTTTTTTTTAATAATGTATCTTTCTCGAACTAGGTTACTAACCTCGCGCTTAGTGTTCAAAATTCATATATTCAATACATCTACAAAATTTTATTTTCCTTATATGTATAATATTTGAATTGATATTGTAAAAAGAAAAAATGACCATCCACAAATGCATGCCGCCGCAAACACTATGGGAAAAGAAATTTTGAAATATAGCTATTTAAAGTGGTCTGAAATTGTTTATAGCGAATTGAGTGATAGTATGTTGTTAAATGCTAATCTGCAACCACCCACAAATGTAATGTTTTTGAGTAGTTGCATAGAACCAATGGAACCCTTTAATGACATTTCTCTAGTTTCACTGATTATATTATTATTGTTATTCAACTAGCATTCACTACTTATAAATCTAGTTTCTTTCTTCATCTTGAATATTACCAGATGATCACAAATGTTTTTTTATTACAATATATTAACCTTGTTGGTTGTTCATCAAAAAGGTCGTTTCCATTTGCACAATAGCATTATGTTACTATGTTACAATTAGAAGTTTTGAATATAAAACATGACCTGAAAAGAAGTAACATAATCAATCAGTCTCCACCATGAAAACATAAAAAGCTTGATAGATTTATTGTTCAAACATGGATAGAGTTCTAATCAAAAACAGCAATGTTGTCAAAAAAAACATCAGGTCTTCTGATGAAAATGAGGGAGACTGATTCTCCCGAAATTGGTCATCACCCACCAAAGACTCACTAATATCACTTGGTTCATGATATTGGTCATTTAATTTTGCTATATTTGGGATGTAGCTTTTGTAATCATATATATGTCCTAATTCTTTCTATCTGCTCGACACATCAGCATTCCAGCACTCGCCACGTGTACACCTTATTTTAAATTCACGCTCTGCTTTTTGGTCTTCGTTTAATCTTCGCTTGATTGCTTCATCTTCCTCAATCTTCACTAACCACATCTTAGTTCTAAACGTATAAAGCTGTACAACGAAACCCAATCATCAAATCTATTTTATGATCATCATCTCACTTAAAGACAAACATTTTGTTTAGATTCACAACGCTGTTTTCCATCGATTTTAAAGGATTTTCTAAAACAAGGAAACATACATTCGAGTTGGCGTTGTTGTCGATTCGACTTAAAAAAATCCATGAAACTTGTACGTTCTTTCTATTTATCTTTCTTTGTTAAGAGTTTGAGCCCACCACTTTCTCCCCTTCCATCATGTTTTTTTTGTTTTGTTTTGTGATCTGCGCTTAATTTGTAAAGTGTCGATGTTGTATAGACGTCTACCTAACATGATCACCGACCATGACTTGTGAATTGTGACACAAACTTTAATCACGTGTACGAAAACAGGAAAAGATGATTACGTAAATGTGTAATTGTTGAAACTTGTTTTCAAACTAAATTTAGAAATTGTATAATTTTGTCTTCTGGAAAATGAATTTTTGTTTTCTAAATCATTCTATTGAATATTGATTGTTTCAAGTGAATATTAAACTCTCTTTTTTGTTGATTCAAAGTAGTTCAGTTTCGGATGGAATTTTAAGCTTCTCTTTTGGAGGTTTTATATACTCATATTCTTTGTTTTAAAGTTACGTGGATGTTGAATCAAATTCTCTCTATGTACAGAGGTTCTAAGACGTTTTCGAGTGATTGAGAAACTGTTGAACCCATCAAGGTTGACTAAGACATTGCTAAATCTTGAAAAAGGGTTTTAACACTCTTCTTGTTTTCTGATTGCAGGAAAGGAACGTAGAGTCTCTGATACTACAAGAAGAAAGAGAGGTTCCTAGCGTGTTTCAATGAGATGGAGACGGTCCATGAAACTATTTTTGCATCTGGAGTTCCAACCGAGGTCTCGCGTATACTATTTTCTTTAGTTTTTTCTTATGGTAGGTCTCTTTGAGATGAATCTTCAATATTTTTGGTTTCAACAGGAAGAAATGAAGAAGCTTGCAAAGAGTGAGAGACTGGCAGTTCACATATAAAACGCAACATATTTGGTGCTTTTTGTGGCAAAAGTTTATGCCTCTATGGAGAGTAGATCCATGGCTGTGATTACTTCGGTGGACTCTGTCTTGGATCTCTTGTCTGGTTTTATTCTCTGGTTTACAACTAATGCCATGAGAAAACCAAACCAGTTTCACTATCCATTCGGAAAGCGCCGGATGCAACCTGTAATTTGCTTCTTCCGTTTTTCTCTACTAACCCCTTTGTTTGCTATTTATTCTGATTCATCTTCTACAAACTTACTTGTCTCACAATAAAATAGTATTGATAACAATACACGCTTTAAATTTAGAAGGCACCATTGTGTTGGCGTTCGTGATGGTAACTCTTGGACTGCAAGTTTTGCTTGAGTCAGGAAAACAACTAGCAAGATCAAGACCGCCATGCCAACTCGTGGCACACAAAAAGGTAACGATTGGAATTTATGTAGCTTCGTCGGTTGGCTTATTCTTCTTCCACTTCATGCTTAGGGTTTTTAAGTTCAGCATCTTAACAATTGTCTCTGCAAGCAAATACATTAAATCATAACTCTTAACAACCACACAACTCCCTCTCCGAGTTTTTTTCCACTCATTGTATAATCAAAGTCGTAAGTCAAGTAAGCGTAGCCACAGATCTTGAAATAGCTTCGAATGCAACATGCCTCAATGAAATTTGACTCATATGTTAGTCGATCGACCTTCTATCTTTACTCTATAGATATTGTGTTTGAACTTAATATATGTGTGGATAACTGAATCCTCATTTTTTCCTTGATACAGAAGTAAACAAATGACGAATTTTATTTTGTACAAGAAGAGGGTTTCTTTATTCCTCATTTATGTGTTTTTTTTTTTTCCCTTGGCAGGATTGGTGTTTAGAATATTGAAAGTAGTTGTGACAAGTCAAGCAATCCATGGCAGACAAGTTAAGAAATAAGCAGTCGTCACACTCAGGTGTATGCAAGCTCTTCTTCATGATCAGTCTTGTGTAATAGCTTATGGCAGAGCACCCTTTAGACTCAGTTGGCGTAAAAGATCATGAAAAGCAGACTGAGGTAAAAATAATTAAAAAAAAATCAAATACATGAGTTTCGAGTAAGACTATTGGACATTACTTTAATTATGTTACATCTTGTTGATGTGCTCCACAGATGGGTTTATTTGGCAATGTCTCAAGTTTAAAGTAACAGATGGAGCAAGAAGTGGCTATTAAGATGGAGAGAGCTATGGTTTTTGCTTTCAGTCTTTCACACATCAATAAAGTATAAATTACAAGAGCTATGGTAAAATTAATAATGTAACCTATCTATATGTATATATATATATATATATAGAAATATTATATATATTGTAAACTTCCAAAATGTACTGCACAATTTTAAGAACCGTTACCCACATAAACCCGCACGTAGTGCGGGTACTCATCTAGTACTGTCTAAAGTAAGACTGGATGAGTACTCTTAATGCTGTAGACATATTTTGCTGTTGAGTACAAAATTTGGGCTGTGGAAAGACTTTACAGCAACAACCAATCATCCCTTTTGTTGTTGTTTTTTAGATCTCCTGTTATTCAACTAATAATTTCTAATTAAATCTCTTTCTAAATCCTATGTTATTAAACATGAATTTATTTAAATTCATTCAAAACCATTTATAATCTCTTGCAATTCAATTAAACATTTATAAAAGTCATACTA